GCTCGGCTGTGGGCGGAGGCGGCCCCGCTGCAGCCGCGGGAGTCGCTGCGCCTCTTACAGCCGCTGCACCTGCCTCGGCGGACACCATGTCGAAGGCGGCCGCCGGCGCAGCGGCGGCGGAAACTTGTGCCACGGCCCCTGGCGGCCCGGCAGCCGCGGCCGTGGAGGACCTGTCCAAGGTGTCGGACGAGGAGCTGCTGCAGTGGAGCAAGGAGGAGCTGATCCGCAGCCTGCGGCGCGCCGAGGCCGAGAAGGTGAGCGCGATGCTGGACCACAGCAACCTCATCCGCGAGGTGAACCGCCGCCTGCAGCTGCACCTCGGCGAGATCCGCGGGCTCAAGGTGAGCGGGGTGCTCTGGGAGGGGGGGCCGAGCCAACTTTCCCTCCCTCCGTCAACAGGTGATCGTCCCCATCCTGCCGATCTGCACCCCTGCTCCCCATGCCGTTTAGAAACTTTACCCAACTTTGGAGGTGCTGGGTCCTCTCCCCTTTTCTGTGCGGATACGCTGACGTCGACCTATCATTCGCTGCTCTGTGGCCAGAGGAATGGTCGCCCGGGAGGCTGACAGACAGGGTGATGGGCACGCGGAACCTAGACTTGCCCATGGAGTCCGAGAAATCCGTGATTCGAGAGGCGGATTACAGCTTGGCGTGGGGCAAGAGGAGCTAGGGAGCGATTCCGGGGCAGCTTACTCCTTTGGGGGTCTGGGGTACAGTTGCTCTGGTGTCACGACTTCTTCATCGGGCAGAGGGTGTGAGGAAGGGGTGCCAGTGCCGGGAGGGAGATGGCGGGACGCCCAGGGAAAAGCGTCGGGCGCCACCCTAAGAAGGGGCTTATGTCACCGGGTGCAGAGGAGTTTAAGGTCTGCTTTTATGTTTATACCTGCTCTCGTGCTTGCCGTCTCCGAGTTCGGCTGAAAGGCGTCATTAGGGGTTGCCTTCCTCTTCGACGACTCTAGTTTAATTTTAATTTTACCCATCATGGGAAGGGGCGGGGGCAAAGGGACCCAGTGTGGGAGGTGCTGGTTGTTGAAGGTAGTACCCCAAGTATCGGCCAGCGATGCTTTCTTTTTGAGTCATCCCTCCCGCATTACTATTAGGAAAAAGAAAAGGGGGAGAAGGGTGAAAGAATTACCCTTCCACCCCAAACTTTCTTTTCTCCATGGAAAGCTCCATGTGTGCCAGCATTGTGCCCCCTAGCTGGCTGCAGCAGACCGGTGGCGGGGATCCGCCCTGTCGGTCCTGCACCGCAAACTTCCTCTCCTCACCGCTTGCGCTGGTGCCTCCTGATATTCCTTCCTCTCATTGTTCTGCTTTGTTTATAGGAAGCCAGACACAAACGAAATCTCTGCGGGGACCTCAGGGAGCAAATTCCCGCAGGCACAAACTGTTCTTGTCCCCTTTCCACTCCCACTAGGCTCCTCAGAATGTAGTCACTTTCTTAATTGCTTCAGCGCTCCAGCTTTGGGAGTCTGGGGCAAAGGGGGTGGGGGTGGGGCAGAACACCAACTGCTCACTTGGGTGCTGGGCCCTTCCAGGTGGAGGTGCCTTGTCCAGGAGGCCCCAAGTGATTGTCATATTGTCCCCAGGGAGGTGCAGTAGGAAGCTCTCACAGTCAGAAAAATCCCAAGGCTTACTCTGCCTTTGGTTTAATTTATTACTAAAAGAGTACTTATTTAGTACCAGACTCTTGGGAGATTATAGGCAGGCTAGTGTGATAGGAAGATCGTTTCAGAGAGGTGTGTTTGGGTCTAGAAAACTCTTTTGCCAGTAGGGTGAGATTGGATAATTAATTTCTCAGTCTTATTTTACTCATCAATAAAATGCAAATGATAACTATTCTCCTAGGGGTTTCTGACAGTAAGTTATGCTAATGCAAGAGAAGACTTAACAGTGGACTTGACTACCAAAAAATGGAGGTTATTGTCATCAGGAGCATACCTGTAAATTTGTTGCTGGGTCTGCAGAATCTGGGTTTCTGAGGCAAAGCTGAACAGAGGTATAGTCCATAAGCCTCCAGTTTAACATCTTCCATGATGTGAACTGTAATGTGACTTGGAAGTTTGTTTAATTAATGAGAGATTTTCAAAAGACTTTACAAATAACTTATAGCGTAATAATTAAGCACTATTTAATACTAGTATAGAGCATTCACATAGTAAGTCAGAAATACCTGAAAGTCCTTTAGATTTCGTGGCGTGTGTGTTTGTGTTTGTGTGTGTGAGTGTACACACCTCTGTGTGAGTTGTAGGGGAGTACGGCCTTCATTCCAGGAGTCCCCTTTAGAGCTGTCCCTGTGAGGCCAGTTAAGAGTAGATCCACTCCAAGTAGGAAAGTGTCCTTGTGATCTAGATTCATGACCTGGCATTTAAAGACTTTCCACTCCACTTCTGTATCAAGTTCAGAAATGACACTTGCTGCCACAGCCTCTGCTCCTCCTTCCGGTTATCCCCGAGCTGCTAGGTAACAGCTCCAAGGCATCTGGCCTCCCCGAGGGGCTGTGGTCAAGCCTGTGGAGAGGCCAGCCTTCTCCTCTTCATCATCTCAGCTCACTCCCATGGACACCTCAGGAATCAATAAATGTGGTTGACTGAGGAAATGTTAGGTACATTTATTTATTTCATATTTCAGCTTGGCTAGAAGGAACTTTTATTTATTTATTTTTGCATCTGATGACACATGGCCCTCAGGTGAGAACTCCATATTTAAGGTAATTAAGACCATCACATTTTTCTTTTTTAGGTCCCTTGATGAGTGCCTTTGAAATTGCCTCACAGTACTTTCAAGGCTATTCTGTGGTGCTAAGCTGTACAGGGGGGTGGGGAACATCACTTCTGTTTCTTTTGAGGGTCCTGTGATTTCATTTGAACTCTGGCTGATTTGTTTATAAACATGCAGGAAGCCTGGAAATGAAAGGTAGAGGGAGAATAAAAGATTTGGAGTTTAACAATTTGAACAAATTTTTAACCTCTTGAAGCTGCAGTTTCCTCATCTACATTTTAAATGGGGATTTAATTCCACTGGAAGTATAAGGACTACATAAGATGTAGATGAAACACAATGAAGTGTTTTCTCAAGGACACACAGATACGAAATGTCCAAAGTAGGCTGACTTTTAATTTGGTTGGTCGGCACTTTCTGGGTAGGAGTCATAGTCCCAAGAGTGGTGAAGAGAAGATGTTTAAGTGAGCCCGGCTCCCGGCGACACCAGGCCTGTGCACTGTGAGCTTGTACCAGTACTCTGGCTGCTCTAACGTGGCATTTTGGGGGCTGGGGAGATTTAAGGAAAGTGAATTTCTGTAGATTTATTACCTGCAGCACATTAATTTTCCTTCTTGCTCCCCAATATACTAGTCTCCCCTTCCGCAATGAAGAAAATTGAAGTGATTCTTAACCACAGATGTAATCCTTCAGATTAGTATTTTAAAAGTCCACTTTAGACACTTGGATAATATGTGGTGGTCTGTGCCATTGAAGATACTGCTTTGAAAAAAGAAAGCATAAGTTTCTGCAGGGAAGATGTGAAGAAGCTGGTTCACAGGTTATTATCAAACTGCTTGCTTAACTGTTACATAGAGGGCAAAGAAAATGACTTAAAATTGGAGAGTAAGTAATTTTCCTAAGAAAATTTCTAATAGGTAGCAGGAACTGTAATAAAGAAAACAGATGGGCCAATACCTGCCCCCTCTCCACCCTCACTGGTGTCCTGAGATGTATATATCATCCTCCATTTGGGCCATTAATTCCTTGAAGCCTGCAGGCCCCATTCACTTCCCAGGTCTGGATCAATCAGGAATAGTTGTTGGATTGTCAAAGGCAAGACTTTTCAAATAGAAGTATATTCAGATGAAGAAGAACATGGCTTTAACTTTCTGTGAAATGCCGGGATTAGACTAAATGTGGAGTAATTTTTGAAGCTTTAGAAAGATTAATTTTACTTAGTATTATTTCCTCAGATTATGTGCAACTTTGAATTTCCCCTAAAGCATCTGTGTCAAAGACTAATTTATTCTCTCATTACTATGGGCCACAACATAACCAGGGCTTGCTGTGAAGAATAATAGGAAATCCTTTTTCCTAGTTAGAGCTGTAACCTATTTTAGCTGCCGGGTTAGGGGTCAGTCAGCGGCATACATAATTATTATTCATTGTATACCATGCTAGATGCGTCAAAAGTACAAAGCATGACACTGAAATGGACTTTACCTTCCAGAAGCTAGGATATCTATATTATAAAATAAAAAAATCATGTCCACTGAGTGCTCTAGCAAGTATGTTGTACAGGCATTCAGCAGAGAGTGGGAAGGTTAATTTATTCATTTGTTCATGACTGGCATTGCTAGTATGTTGTACAGGCATTCAGCAGTGAGCAAGAAAATTCATTTATTCATTCATTCTTTCACTCATTCATTCATGCCTGGCCCTGCTGCATCCTGAGGGAGAATTCTCAGAGCAATCTCTCCTCTTTAGTTCACATAGGGGAGAAGCCAGTATTTTCTTGACATAATCAGTGTTCAATATTAGTAGACATAGAGAGGGATAAATGTGGTAAGGCAGGAAAAACACCTCTCTGGCCTGAACAAAGGGTTTATTTCTTTTCCCCAGTAAAGGGTAGGTGGTGGAATTAGTCCACAGGAGAGACAACATTCAGAGGGCATTCAGGCCATGGAGGTCTTGGGTTGGAGCAGATGAGGGACAATAGAGCAAAAGACAGACCAAGACTGGGAGAATAGATGGAAGGCTTATGAAAATGTCCTGACCTGAGGTTAGAAAGTGCCAATGAGGAGTAAAAGGAGGCGATGGATATTAGAAACAAGGGATCACAGTTGGTAATTCAAGAATTAGAATTGGAGATGAAAACTAAGCTGCACAGATGATCTTCCTCAGGTCTGGAACATCATTCCTGTGTTAGTCCCGGGACTGTCAATAGGCATGGTGTGAATGGCAACAGTTTTGTAGTTTGTTATTCTAGTCAGTGACAGACAAAGTGTTGGTATCAGTTCATGTATAAGAGAAGACAGTCTCTTCTCTGAGAACCTCTATTTTAGACTGGATGATGGACTGTGTCACACGAACCGAGTTTTCGGTCAGCGGTCACTTTTGTGGGGAAGTGTCTGATGAAGTGCCACCTGAAGTTGAGTGGAAGGCAAGGGAAGCATTGGTGGGAGAGAAGGGACAGGCTCCTCCTTGAGGATGTGAAGAGAGGCCTGTGTTGGACTCAGCATGACGGGAGGGGGTATTTTTTTTTTTTTTTAAGATTTATTTATTTGTGCACACAGAACTGGGGCACAAGCCAGAGGTGTGGTGGGTGAGAGGACTCACCAGAGACAGTCAGAGCAGAACGGGTAGAGTGACAAAGTACACTGCTAAGGGTAGTAATGGGTGGGTCAGGAGAGGCCTGCCACCCCGTGTGGGTCAGCTCCCTGGCCGGGGCTCGAACTCATGCTGCAGTGGCTTTAGAGAGTTTCATAACAACGTGGTACTTTAACCAGTTGCGCCGTCAGGGAGGGTCCTGAAGGGGATGTTTTTAACCTTTACTGCTGCCGGTGCCAGGCCCATGTCATCTCCCACCACCTGAAGTAGTTCCTAGCTAGTCTCCAGATTGTTGCCTTATTTGGTCTTTCCTATCCATGTTGTCAGCTTGTCAACAATTCAGCTCTTTCCTGTTGCTGACCAGGTCAGCTTTACCTGTCCAGAGGCCTGCCCAGATCTCCCTTTCCCACTCTGCTCTTCTCACTCGCTGTGCTTGGGTGCTCAGGCCTTACTGCAGCTTGAGCCACATTTGGTTCAGGGCTTTTACATTTGCTTGTCTCTGCTTGGGATTTTCTTCTTTGAAATGTTCGTTTTGTGGACAGCGCTGCTATGTACATAAGTGTAGACAAATCTCTTCCTATTAGACTTTACCTATTACTTGGATATTGCAGCTCATACGGAACTTCCATTTTTGTTTTCTTAAGAAATCTCTGTACTGTTTCCACAGGGGCTGCCCATTTTGCATTCCCACTAGCAACAGCGAGAGCTCCTTTCTCACAGTAGTCTCCCTAACATTTGTTGGTTCTGTTCTTTTCCATATGGGCCATTCTCACAGGGGTGAGATGGTACCTCAGTGAAGTTTTAATTTGCAATTCCCTGATAGTAAGTGTTGTTGAACAGTTTTTCACAGGTCCACAGCCCACCTGAATGCCTTCTTTGGAAAGTGTCTATTAGGTCCTTTGCCCACTTTTTGAATGGATTGTTTCTTTGTTGGGAGTGTGTAAGAACTTTGTAAATTTTAGAGATATAAATACTCATATGCAAAGAAGGTTAGTAGTAAATCTTGAATTCAGGAAAAGAATATAGTGGTTACTAGAGGGAACGGTGGGAGGGAGAAGACGGTGGGCAGGGAGGCAGGTAGATAGGTGGTTTGGTGAAGGGAGAAACCAAAAAAAAAAAAAGAAGAAAAAGAATCTTTTCCATACATTTCATGTACTGTGAAAATTTTCAGGTGAACTAGTGAATTGCCACTAGAGAATTGCAATTAGAGAAGCAGGCTTGATCAGAGGCCTTGTGACCCTTGAAGGTCCCTTCAAGGGTCCTAAGGGTGTGGAGAAGCAGTGAGGGTTTTAGGCATAGGAGTGAGGAGATGGGAGGTACTTAGGAGGTGGAGTTTAGAAGACTTGCTTGCCAGGGAAGGCAGGGAAAGGACTGGTAGGGATAGCCCCACATTCTCATAAGAATGGGAGGAGGGCTCTCCCTGGTGGTGCAGCCTGTGAAAGCACAGCACTATGGAGCTCTCTGAAGCCACTTGCAGCACACGTTTGATCACCAGCCTGGGAGCTGACCTCTCCTGACCCGCCTGCTGCTCCCCTCAGCAGTGTACTTCTTCAATCTGCCCCCTTCTTCTGTTCTGCTCCCCACTCTGTCTCTGGTGAAACCTCTCACTGCCCCTGCTTTTACCCCAGTTCTGTAAGCATAAATAAATAAATCTCTAAAAAATTGAAGTAAAAAGAATGAGCTGGCTGGGCGGAGGGGCCATTGAGGAGATCAGCATTGCTCTATGAGGTGCAATGCCCTGTCCAGGAGGCATCAAGTGGGTGTGGCAAGTCAGGGCTGGGGAGCCACATGAAGGCAGTTGTGCTGTTCCCCACTGGGGACTAGACTGCTCATTCTGTGCCGTGGGCTGAAACAGCTGCCCCAGAACCATCAGACATTTCCCAGGTCATAAGCAGCCATCTCTTTTCCTTGAAGTTGGGACAGGGGGCTTTTTTTTTTTTTTTTATTGATTTCCTGTTAACTGACTGCTCCCACAAATACTGACTGGGTGACCTTGGACAAGAAAGCTTTGTGAGAGCTATGTTTCCCCTTTTATACAAGAACCATTAATAATCATCTTCTAAGTGTTTTGGTGAAAATTAGATGAGATAATGCAAGTAGAGCATTGGCCGGGAAGCATTATAAATACCTATTTTTATTTCTATGGAGAGCTTCTTCTTCATCTTCAGCTTCCTCTCACCCTCTCACCTGACATCACAGAGAATCCACCCATTCCAGACTCTCTGGCTTCCAGAAAGGATGGGCCTACCAGTGCCTTCTTTGACTGGCTTTGTCTCTCTTCTCAGGATATCAACCAGAAACTCCAGGAAGACAACCAGGAGCTGAGGGACCTCTGCTGTTTTCTGGACGATGACCGGCAGAAAGGCAAGAGGGTGTCCCGGGAGTGGCAGCGACTAGGCCGCTACACTGCTGGGGTGATGCACAAGGAGGTGGCCTTATACCTGCAGAAGCTGAAGGAACTGGAGGTGAAGCAGGAGGAGGTAGTGAAGGAGAACATGGAGCTGAAGGAGCTCTGTGTGCTGCTGGATGAGGAGAAGGGTGCGGGCTGTGCAGGCAGCCGCTGCTCTATCGACAGCCAGGCCAGCCTGTGCCAGCTTACTGCCACCACTGCTCCCTATGTGCGGGATGTGGGCGATGGCAGCAGCACCTCCAGCACAGGCAGCACTGACAGCCCGGACCACCACAAGCACCACGCAAGCACCAGCAGCCCCGAGCACCTGCAGAAGTCGCGGGGAGAGGGCAGCCCCGAGCACCCCAAGCACAGGAGCACCAGTCCTGAGCATCTACAGAAGCCCAGGGCCTCTGGGACTCCAGACCACCCAAAAGCACTCAAGGGGCCGAGCCCCGAACACCACAAACCCTTGTGCAAGGGCAGTCCTGAACAGCAAAGGCACCCACACCCTGGGAGCAGCCCGGAGACGCTGCCCAAGCACGTGCTGAGCGGGAGCCCAGAGCACTTCCAGAAGCACAGGCCGGGGAGCAGCCCCGAACATGCCAGGCACAGTGGGGGCAGCCCCGAGCACCTTCAGAAGCACGCCCTGGGTGGCAGCCTGGAGCATCTCCCCAGGGCCAGGGGGACCAGCCCCGAGCACCTCAAACAGCACTATGCCGTGAGCCCTGATCACAAACACGCGGGTGGAGGAGGTGGCGGCAGTGGTGGAGGCAGCCGGGAAGGCACTCTGCGGAGGCCGGCGCAGGAGGACTTGTCACCCCATCACCGGAGTGTCTACAGTGGCATGAACGGTGGGTCAGTATGTGCGGGGCAAGCGGGTGCAAGAGCTAGCCATGATGAAGGGCGTCCCAGTGTGTGACAAAGTGCAGGCCCGGCGCGGCAGGGGGAGAGAACATGTATTTGCCCCCAAATCATGATGCGTTTCTTTCCCTTCATTTGTTTTATTCTGTTATTAGTCAAGGAAGCTTGGAGATTATCGATGAGGGACTTAGGAGGGAAGAGGAACCTTAACTCCTGGGTCTTGGTCAGAGTGAGATTCTGAATACTGAAGCTAAACAGAACCTAAACAGAACCACGCTAGGATTCTTCCATCTTGAACTTGGGCATTTTCCTAGTTACCTGCAGTTTCCACAGGAATCAATAATTAGAAGGTGTTTGAATCCAGTTAATAGCTTTTGTGCAGTAATAAATGAATACTTAGTATGATAAATAATAACACATTAAAAGGAAATGTAGTGTCCCTACATAAGCTTGATGCTGGGTTGCCTGAGTGTCTGTAACTACACCTTGCTCTACTTAGAGGGTTTTTCTCTTGGGCCTTAGCATGAGTCTGTGACTTTTTCTTTTGCATCTAAAATGGATCAGACGATTCCCGTTCCTACTCAACATCCAGCCAGTCCACTCACCAACTCTCCTAAACAGATTCTGAACAGTGCTCTTTGACGTTAGGAGAGACATCTTTGCCTGTTGTTTAAAAGTTCCTCTTTAACATGTATGGACGTATTTCGATGCTTCTTTGGTTTCCAAAGCATAACATCCGTTGCATTTGCTGAGGCGGCTCTAAACCCGAGCGTTTAAACCTTTTGGAAGAGGTTTAATTTTCTGCATCTTGGTTCTGAAACTACTTTGAACTCAAGAGAGAAAAAAATCATTTCTTAAAAAAAAAAAAAAAAAAACCCTCACAATCCTTTTATGTTACTTATGGTTGAGTTAGAGCTAAAATGATTGGTTTTATAAACTGTCGGTTTTTTCATTCAAAATACCTGAGGTTTTATGATTTATTTGAAGTTGTTCTAGAGTCTGGGCGGCCACCTCTGAGTAGTGGTAGAGGTTGGCAATTTTAGCAGTGACACTAAGGGGTAAATTTTCAATATTGTACTTGGGGATTTAACTGTTGGATTCAATTTCATCCTAATCCTTTTCTCATAGTGCTGGAAATTGACTCCTGAAGCTTGGCTTCTAATGCAGCCAGTGTTCTTTTAAGTGCAAATGGAACCAGAAGGGGTGGGAAAGATGGGAAGATGTAGTTGCTCCTCCTGGGAGGTGGGAGCTGGGTGAGGCCAATTCACCAGTTGGGGTGAGGCCTCCTGGCTTCCTGTGACTTGTACCAGGTGGGCTGAGACTTCACTGGATTTTCAGGCGAGGCAGGGATGCCACCCTAGGCAGCCAGGGGCAGCCTTCACTTTGCAGTGCTCACAAGACATTTGAAAGAAGTTTTGGTTGTGATACTATCATGATGTGGGCCATTGACCATGAAGCTTGTCTTCCGGGGTAAAGCGTGGATGGGAAAAGCCTTTTCTGTGTTTTGATGACTCTTCCTAATGATCAGGAGCAGTAATTGTGTGTACTGTTTTTGTATTTTAAAGACACTTTTAGTTTTTTAAAGAAACTTTATGTTTAAACATAAATATTACTTTGGAGCAGGTGGTTCGCTTACCAAACAATTACAAGGAAGGACTCTTGTAATAAGGAGTTCCTCTAGTTTAATTAAAGTGTGATTTAACTTACAAGAAAAGATTTTAGATGCAACTTTTAAATAATGGCTTGCATAAAGTAAGGTAGAAAGATACATGGGTAGGTAGGTAGGTAGATAGGTTGATAAGGATGGCATAGGCATTTTATGGCTTAGTTTTTGGATTCAGAAACTTGGGTCAAGTAAATAAAAAAAATAACAATTCTGTTTACTTAAAAATTGAATGTAACATAGACACATTAGAATAACACTACTGTTTACTGTTCTCATTCTTGAGTGACAAATCTGCTGACAGTTGATATCCTCACCACATATATTTGTAGTACCTTTGCATCATCTTTTCATTTCAGTAATTCTTTGAAAAATGAAATGGTACAATGAGATATTTGTGGATCGTCAGCCTATAAACTTGGATATTCTTAGCTTGTATATACTCTACAGTTGCAAACTAATTTTCAGTATGGATGGTAGGCCATGCTTTTTCATGTTTTTAAATCCCTACACACTTTGGTTGAATAAACTGCTATGAACCAGTAGTGGAATTAATCCCAAATAGCAGATTTGCTGAGTCATTGAAGGAATTACTGGTGTGATGAGTGTTTTGATTGAGTGCTTGCGTATTTTGCCATGAACAAAGGCAGGTGGAAGCAGATAGGAAGAGGATATCATGGCAGGATGAAAGATGACATGAGTGTTGGGGAGATACTATCCTCCTTCAGTGATATGCACTGTCTCCAAACACAGGCACACGTGCACACATGGGGGACCGTTGATTGTGCCTTGGGTGTCTTTAAATATCCCTGTGTTTTCTATTACAAACTTAGTGCATGAAGAAATTGATAAACTTGATATTCTAAGGGGTTCCTTTAGTTAAAACAGTTGGCTTAATTTCCAAATGTAGTACAAAGATGAAGGTTATATACTTTTCCTCTCTTATTAAAAATAGTTATAGCGGCCCTCCCTGGTGGCGCAGCGGGTTAAAGCACAGCACTGAGAATCTAAAGCCGATTCGCATGAGTTCAATTCCCGCCTGCCCCAGAGGTGACCACATGGCGTGGCAGACCTCTCCTGACCCGCCCGCTGCTCCCCTCAGCAGTGTACTTCGTTGATCTGCCTGTTCTGTTCCCCACTCTGTCTCTGGTGAAGCCTCTCACCCTCCGCATCTCTGGCCTGTACCCCAGTTCTGTATGAATAAATAAATAAATCTTAAAAAAAAAGTTATAGCTATATAACTATTTTTAAAGGTAGCTGAATGAAAGTAATAATAAAAAAGAAAAACAAAAATGCTTAAAGAACAAAATATTCATGAAAACATTTATTTCTTAGAAGTTAATTAGTTCGCCTTCCCTGGTGGCACAACGGGTTAGGACCAGCAGTGCAAGCGAGCCACAGCTGCAAGTTCAATGCAAGTTCGATCCCCAACCTGGGAGGTGATCAACATGGTGCAGCAGACCACTTGCTGCTCCCCTCAGCAGTGTACTTCATAGATCTGCTTCTGCCTCACTTGCTGCTCCCCTCAGCAGTGTACTTCATAGATCTGCCTGTTCTGCTCCCCACTCTGTCTCTGGTGAATCCTCTTACCATCCCTACACCTTTGGCCTTTACCCCAGTTCTGTATGCATAAATAAATAAATCTTGAAAAAAAGAAGTTAACTAGCTATTTCTTTTAATCTATAGATAATTAAATTTGCAAAGATTGAGAGGATTCAACACTTATCACATCTAGACATGCACATGATGTGATTCTAGATGTGTTTCATATTTATTAAAGTAATTGAGTAGCCACTTCTAGCTAAACATGAACACAAACGGAGAGCCTCAGAGATTGAGAATGGGAATTCATTTACCTGATTCCACTGAAATACAAGACTAGATTAACTTTCTGTGTTAAAATTTTCCTTTTCACAATGAAACCAAGGGCTTTGCTTCCCAGATTCTAGCTAACAGGTCTTTGCTTTTCACCAGATGACTTTTCAGTTATCTGGCCTGGATGTTGCAGATGATTCATATTCTTTTAGCAATAGCTTTGTTGACTTTCCAGACATAGATGATCTGATATGATCAGGGCTCCTAGCAGTAGTTCAGCCATTGGACACTGTTAATCCAGATGAAAAAGTAATACTGATAACCTCAACTCTAGAGCACGTGCTGCTTACTGGTAACTGAGAAGGAATCAGAAGACCAAAAAATTTAGCTTTCATTTCTTATTTTCTTCTAAAAAGATGTGTAAGTAATTATCCTTTCAATTTACTTTGCCATCTTAGAGCCTGCTTCAGTGAGTAGCTTCATGCCCTCTCTCAGATTCACCCTAGCCAAGGAGCGCCTATGGGACTGAGTGTAACTCACTGCATTCAGAAGCACTGTTCAGCACTCATTTGGCCTTGCTGGATGTCAGGGTTATGTCTGCCTCCTCAAGCTGCTCATTGCTTCTTGAAGTATCTCTGCAGATAGAAAGAAGAGGCTGTTTACCCCACCCACTTTTTCTCTAGAACAGGCTTCCCAACAGTACACTATTGACATCTAGAAATAGATTATTCTTTGTTGTAAGAGAGTGTGTATCTTGGGAAGTTCACAACATCCCTAGCTCTGTCCACACCCCTGCTTGTGACAGGTGAGATGTCCACAGACGCTGTCCGATATCCGGGGTAAATAATCTCTTACTCAAAAACACTGTTTTAGGCTAGTGGCTTCCATCTGCTTGCAGATTAAAATCACTCTGGTAGTTCTGAAGAAAAAAAAAGTGCCCACGCTTAGATATAAATTGGATCTGTCTGGTGCTGAGCACGAGTGGAGCTTCTTCAGGTGAGTTTGGTGAGTGAGGATTTAAACCCTGTTCTGGGGCCTAGTGTTTTGCAAGAGGCTTTGGTGGAGGGAGGCTCTCAAGCACTGAGGTTTCCTCCAAAGTGGAAAGTTTGTCTCTTCCTTCTACTTGCTGAATTCTAGGACTCAGAATGGCTGACCAAGCAGGTATTGTCAAACTTTACCTCTCCACTCCAGACCCACCCAGGTACTCTGAGAAAACATTTTTTTTTTAGGGGTGTAGGTAAATAATTTATGTTTTTGTTGGTTGGGTTTTGCTAGGGGATTGTAGAGCAATTTTCAAATACAAGTAGCTCAACACTAGTTTTTTTCTTGGTTTAATATTTTTTTCTTAAACTTTTTTTCTTATGTTGTTCATTTTTGTACAATTTGCAGACAAATTATAGATCTGAGGCATATGGAAGGGAAAGAGGAGGGAGAGAGATCAAAATGGGAGGAAAGAGCACCAGTGACTATGATGAGCATCCAGGGGTGATGTGGTGGTCGAGACTTATGGGGTCAG